AGAGAGAGAGAGAGAGAGAGAGAGAGAGAGAGAGGGCAGTAGTATAAATTTTAACTGAGCTGGGTGCAGTGGTGTACAACTATAATCACAGCAATTTTGAAGGCGAAGGCAGGAGGATCACAAATTTGAGACCAGCCGCAGCAATTTAGCAAGAACCTGTCTCAAAATAAAAAATAAAGAGGATTTGGGATGTAGCTCAGTGGTAAAGTGCACTGGGTTTAGTCCCCAGTAACAAAAAAGAAAAAGGGAAAGAAAAAAAGAAACAGAAATGTTAGCTAAAACAGTATCCTATGGATTTAAAAATGTAATTATTCCAATCCTCTTCAGATGACATTCATACTTACTCCAGAGTTACTTCACCGTACCTGGGTCTGGAGTTGGTCTGCTTCACATCACTTTCTTGCTCAAGATCTGTTCCATAAAGCTCCCTGTGCCTCTCTGCTTGGCTCTCCAGGTCATAACCCAATTTGATCCTGTTTCCCCTCAGTCAAGCAGATTGCTGTCTGTTCTTGCAAGCTCTAACTTCTTCTTTCTTCCAGCAACTCCTTCTGCTTGGGGTACTATTCCCCCCCCCACACCCATACCTTTTACCCAGTGATTTAATTACACACTTCTTTAAAACTTAGCTTATAGTACAGGCCCCACATACAGTCTTTGCTGACTCTCCAGCTTACCCTGCAATCTGTGAACTGCTATTATGGAGTTTGCCGCTAGCATTTTTTGATTCCCCCCCGCCCCCCGCCATACTTTCTCAGACAGCTGATTGTCTTCAGCTTGAAGTCAGTAACTGTGTTTTCCTTACCTTTTCCACTAATAAAAGTGTACCGACAACCTACTGTGTTTAAACACAGAGGTTTTACAGTGATGAATAAGTTATGGAATCCTCCTTCAGGAAACTTTTTAGTCCCGTGGGAGACTACATCTTTCCTCAACAAATAAGCATTGGGTAATTGGGCCAATCACTATGTAAAATGCACGAAGATGAGGATTTTTAATTTTTTATTTGTTCTAATTAGTTATACATGATAGCAGACTGCATTACGACTCATTGTACACAAGTGGAGCACAACTTTTCATTTCGCTGGTCGTACACGATGCAGAGTCACACCATTCGTGCAATCTTACATGAACATAGGGTGATAATGTCCGTCTTATTCCACCATCTTTCCCACCTCCACACCCCATCCCCACGCTTTGCCCAATCCAAAGTTGGATGGGGATTTTAAAAAAGCTTTTCATTGAGGTTGTACGGTGGTGGAGGGTTCCTTTGATTGACTGCTATCTCTCCCGCACTTAGAATACAGTAGGTACTCAATTAATGATACAAAAATAAGATTTCTTCCATACTCACAGCCACTTTATAGTAGGCACGCAATTAAAAAGTGACCAATACGAAAAGCTAAGGTTTTGAAAGCGCCGAAGACTAGACAGCCAATTGGAAGATAAGGGCGGGGTTGGGATGACAGTGGGCAGAGGGCGTGTCTGACCCGGAGTTGGCTCCTAGAGCATGCGCAGTCTTCACCGAAGGTGACGGGGAAAAATGCGGAGGCCCGGATTGCGTAGGAGCAGGTTCTGATTGGCTACTGTTCGTGCGCGAGGGGCCGTGCCTACTCGTCGCCAAGTAAACAGGGCAGTCTAGAGGCGGGGCCACGGAGGCACCGCAACCTGATTGGCCCAGCATGAGGTGGGGGGTGCCACGGATTGGTCCCGGCCGCGAGCTCTGCTGTGTGGAGCGCGCCGGGTCCCGGAGCCGGCGGCCAGAGGGATGGACGAGACGAGCCCACTAGTGTCCCCCAAGCGGGCCCAACCCCCGGAGTACACCTTCCCATCGGGCTCGGGAACTCACTTTCCGCAGGTACCAGGGGGCGCGGTCCGCGTGGCTGCGGCAGCCGGCTCGGGCCCCTCTCCGCCAGTCTCGCCGGGCCACGACCGGGAGCGGCAGCCACTGCTGGACCGGGCCCGGGGTGCGGCGGCCCAGGGCCAGACTCATACAGTGGCGGCGCAGGCCCAAGCTCTGGCTGCCCAGGCCGCGGTTGCGGCGCACGCAGCGCAGGCCCACCGAGAGCGGAACGAGTTCCCGGAGGACCCCGAGTTCGAGGCGGTGGTGCGGCAGGCCGAGGTGGCCATCGAGCGGGGCATCTGCCCTGAGCGCATCTACCAGGGCTCCAGCGGAAGCTACTTCGTCAAGGACCCTCAGGGGGTGAGAGCTGGGTTGGGGATCGCGGTCCCCGGGCGGGTGGAGCACTGAGGGAGTTCTGGGTTTCGCACCTTCTGGGGAAGAAAAAAAGAAAAGCTGCAAGAGAGAAACTTCACAGTGCCAGCCCTTAGCAGGATTTTGGGATGCCACTGAGGACTGGAGATAGGGAAGCTCTGCAGGATGAAGAAATAAATCAGAACCTATTTGGTGGGGGAGGCGTGAAAAAGAAAAGAGGAAATTGACCAGATAACAGGCTGAGGGCTCAGTGGTGTGGGGCAATTTGCCTCTAGACAGAGAAGCTTAAGCAGATACTGTTTTGCAGTAGGTTCCTTAGCTTTATGAACTACTGAGACTACTATTTGGCCATTGGTTTACAGATTTGTACAGATTTGGGGCTCTGGGCTTGTTCCTCTTTTTGCACTGAAGCAATGTGTTGCTGTTCTGAAGAACAGGTGAACCATCAGGGACTCTGAGGATTCAGTCCAGGTCTTCTGTGTTGTGATGATCTATATCTCCTGCCACAGTCCCAGGATTTTATTGACAGAAGTGTGTGATAGTGTGGGGGGGACGAATCAGTTTCACCTGGCCTCGTTATTGTTCACTTCCTCTGGGAAAAGGTTTAAATCATTTCTGACAGTTCCTCAGTGTAGAACATGGAGTTTTAGAAACATGGGACTCTCTGCTATCTTTTACTTTCATTCTCTCCCAGGCCTATCAGCAGTTTGCTTTTCAATTAAGGTGGAGTTTTGCTGACCTTTATTTTGTCCCCTGCATGCATTTACAGGGAGATGGGCGTGGGATAGGGCATGGAGTAACCAGGGCAACTGAGAAGTGACTTTTTATCCTTTTGAGAACTACAGAAGAATTTAAGGCATTTGACTTAGGATCAAGCCAGGGGTATTGAAGTCTTCAGATATTCCATAATGGTTCATTGGGAAAATGTGTTATTGTTATACTTCTTAAAATAGTGGGTGTCAAAGTTTTCTCACATTTTCCCAGCATCTCTCCTGCGTGGACTCTTTAGATGCACAGTATATTTGGGTTTTTTTGTTGTTGTTGTTTGTTTTATTTTTTTGGTACCAGGGATTGAACCCAGGGGTGCTTTACAAATTGTAAAACAGTACTTAAGTGCTTTACAAATTGCCCCACACCACTGAGCCACATCCCTAGTCTGTTTTTTTTAAATTTTTTTATTTAGATACAGGGTCCTGCTGAGTTACTTAGGGTCTTGCTAAGTTGCTAAGGGTGGCTTTGAACTCATGATCCTCCAACTGCTGGGATTACAGGCTTGTGCCACCATGCCTGGCCAGTATATTGTTTTGACAGAGGAGTCGTGAGTGACCAGGATGAGCTATCACTTGTAGCTGTTGGTCAGGTCTATTGAATGATTCATTTATTCATGAAAGTCATCCCTGAATTATTAAGAACCAGAAGACAATTCTGCCATCAACTCTGTGTACATAACCTGGGTTACGAAAGGCTTTGAGAGTAATAGTTATTTTCCAAGACCCTTAAATAAGGGAGCTTGAAAACTCAAATGGGAACCATAATTTCTAGAAACAAGGAAAGTTGAGTGTCCTGAGATCTAAAAGTCAGCAAAGTGCTTTGTCTTTTTGAAAACAGAATGAGATTTAATGTGTGAGTTGTTTTGGTTTTTTGGGGTGGGGCGCCGGGGAGGTTAGCTTGTTGACTGAGAATGTGCTAAGATTATCTTTGCTAGGTTCAGGATGAAAAAGATTTTTTTTTTTCATGACACTTTACAATTCCCATGGCAGTATTTCAGGTCCCACTCTTAGGAGTAATAGGATCTCTTAGTTATCCCTGGAAGATAAAGTACTATCATTTCATACATACACAGAGAAAGGCACACCACAGGTAAGTTTCTTGGTGATGTTTAGGCTATCAGTCGCTAAAATTTCCTGGCCACTATTCTTTATTAGAGGGGAACTCAAAACAAGATGCTCTGATCAAACTTTTAATGTAACCATCCTGCTCCCTCTGAGGAAATGTCATTTAGAACAGAAGACTACTTCCTAAATGCTGTGTGTGGGGGGTTACACTGGCCCCTCACTGTAGTTAGTATTGTCATTTTGACCTTACTCCAAATGTATTTTATTTAACAAATACTTACATAGCACTTACTATATGCCAAGTTGTGTTTTAAGTGTTTTACAAATAGTAGCTCATTTAATCCTTATAACCACCCTCCAAGATGAGTACTATAATTATCCCCACAGGTGACAACACTGAAGCACATAGTATAACTAATTTACCCAAGGTCTCACAGCAACCAAATCGTGGAGTTGGGCATATTGGCTCTGGAGGTCATGCTTCTAACCACAATGCTCTGCTGCCCCAGAGTTACTCATCTGAATTTCTGGTTTATCTTTTTAGCCAATATATTGCTTAGTACTGAATTTGGCAGTGTGTGACAGGCATTTTAAAATAATAATGATTTGAAAAAAAGGTTCATTTATCTCTTGTGTAAAGGACTTCTGTAGGCTGCATGGCATTTTACTTTATCACGGGTTCAGGTCCTTCTTCTATCTAGGATTCAGCCATCGTTAGTGTGTGGCTTCCACTTCATGTTCCAAGTGGCTGCTTGTGCTGCAGAGATCTTATCTGCTTTTCAGCTATTTGGAAGAAGGAAAAGGAGAGAAAGAATGTCGCCACCCCTCAGGACCTTTCCTAGAGTTGCATCAGAGCCTTCTGCCTAAAAACATTGTTCATAATTTAGGGGCAGTAGTGGCTGGAACTATAGTCTTTATCTTGCCCAGCTAAACATCAGGAGTCCCATGACTAGGGAAGAACCTGGGAACAGCAGTTTCTATAATGGCTACTTTTGAAACTTAGTCTGAAAAGATTCTTGAAGAATCTGATTCTAGTCCTGATTCCATTTCCCAACATCGAATGGTTTCTGTCACAGGGTAAGTGGCGACCTGGAACTGTTAGAGAGAAAGTGCTAGATTAGGAGTCATGGTGGAGTGTGCTCACATTACCCCTCCTCACTTACATCCTTATGCTTCAGGTCTCATGTTCACTAGGAACAAACATATTTTTTGAACATTCTCTAGTTTGTGAGGTCAGTCCTACCAGATGTTCATATTATCAGGAATCACAGAACAGCATGTGATTTACTAGTTTAAGAGGATTAAATGAAATATTACACATGAAAGGCCCTGGCGTAGTTCCTGGTTTTTAGATGAAGCTTAGAGTTTTTTGTTTTGTTCTGTTGTACTTATTGATCCCTGGATTGGCTTTCTTGGATACACAACATTGAAAAAGGCAAAAGTAATATAATTTTGAGAAGATACTTTTAACCATTGAGAATAGCAGTTCATTAGATCATAGTAAGTTTGGTATTTGCATCAATGCCAATTACAGTATCTATAAAGACACTGCCCACATGTTCTAGGAACTTGGCCTCCTATCATTGATTTTCAATATTTATTTATTTATTTATTTATTTTTGTGGTGCTGGGGCATGAACCCAGTCTCCCGTGTGCTAAGCAAGCACTCTGCTACTGAGCTACATCCCTAGCCCAATTTTCAACCTTTAATAGACTTTATCCACCAACCGTTTGCCATGAAAGTAGTATCTTTTTCTATTTTTAGTTCTTTTTTTTTTTTTT